TGAGTTTTGTACTGTTTAATGGATCGTTCACCCAACTGTTCAACAGTTGTTACTGCTGAACACACACACACAAAAAGACATTTTGAAGAAGATTGGGACGCAACCTAGAGGAATTCTCAGGTTCTGATCTGACCCGATTCACGTCATACATAAACTCAGTGTGCATAAATTAATTCTTAATTCCTTTTACTTAGATCAGTTTGCTCCTTTCAGAATAAACACACTGGTGCATCAGTGGCTGCACACTGGACACTGTAGTGTGTAGTTGTTATTTTTGCAGTTCAGTTTTTTTCAGAAATAGCACGCTTCAGTTTGGTTATATGCTCTTCTCATTAGTAGAATTGAATCACCTCAACCTCTCACATCATTCACACATTCTGACTCCAAAAATGCAAGCACCATGATAATTTATGCTAAACCATTTGGTCAGTATATCAGTTGAAATCCCTGGTCATTTCTCCATGCAGTGTGTCTGAAATTGCTGTGACTGGTCCACCGGGCCTCTTCATATCACAAATGGAAATAGGCCAGAATTTCCAGAGCTCCGTCACGCTGTCCTGGGTCAGAGGTCCGAATCCGTTCACCCATCTGCTGTCTGTTTGTTTCGCTGCAAATACTCCGAGGTAGTCAGGAATCAACTTGAATTCTTCATAAAGCAAATTCACAACTGACAGCTCAGTTAAACTCTTCAATGTTTGTTTCACAGCCTGCAGTCTAACGTCAGGTGCATATGGCTTCAACAAAGTAAGATTGTTTTACTCCTTTTCCGTGTTTTCCTCTTAGTATTTAAAAAACTGGCGATGGGAGATCAAATGCCAGTAGTCTTTATTTCATTTACTCTCTTTCAGCGCAAACAGACCCTTTGCCACCCGGAACAGGTAATATATCCATTTCCTAAGTATTACACTTCCACAATTGTTTTCAGCCTGTACTGCTTAGTGTGCAGAATCGTTTAGCAGATTATTGTAAATCTCCGGTGTTGTATTCCTTATCTAATATTGTACATAACAGTGACAGGCATCCATAATGAAATCAGAAACAAACTAAAGCTTTATTAAAGAGCACATGGACACCAAACACACAGCAGAACAGAGCAAAAAACACCAACCAAAACATGCGGTCTGTTTTTCATTTGTGTTCATTTGTAAGAAATATAAGATTAATGTTTTGAAATCTCCCCTGACTCATATTATTAGTATCATATTATTATGAGTCATACTGATTAATAATTTGGATGCAAATGATGTCACTGTTTGCATAATCAAGTCAAGTCAAGTCATCTTTATTTCTATAGCGCTTTATATAATACTGATTGTGTCAAAGCAGCTGTACAGTGACAAACTGGAACATAGTTTGTCAATAATGGAAGAGGACAATAACAAACAGTCATTTTTTTCAGTTAAAGTTCATTGATGATTCAGTGATGTCATCGTCCAGTTCATAGTGGATTGATGATTTTTCTTACATCTGTTTACTTTCTGAATTATACTTTATTTTGTGTTCCTTGTATATATTTAATCATCTATAGTCGCCATTACAATCCAAAGGTATTGGGTTGATTTTATATTAATTATTGTGCACAGTTTCCTTTCTGATGTAAAATGCAGCATTTTATTTGAAGAGAATCAAAAAAACTAAACTTACATAAAACTATGACACCAAAAACACTGTGCCTCTGCTATTTCAAAACCATCATGACATGACATGATGGCATATGTGTCTCCATGCCGAAAATGGGGGATGACAGCAAAGGGGTTAAAGCGCAGAAAAAAAGTAAAAAAAAAAAAGACTTCAAGGTCTCACTCGTCATAAGTTTGTCTCACCCTCATTTCATGTGTATTTTTCTGTCAGAGTTGAAATGTAAGGAGCGCGAGCTTCAGATGTCTCTAGTGCTGCCCATTACCTTCCTGGAGAATCTGCATTTCTCTGCTCTCCAGCTGAATGATCCGACCTGCCCAGTGTTTTATAACTCGACCCACGTCACCGCCACCTTCCCTCTGACGGGCTGCGGAACCAAGAGGATGGTATGAAACCTTCTCATCGAGAGATACATGCAGTCATTAGTGCCTTTGTATTTCTAGCAGCAACGTAAGGTTGTTCTATTATTTGTCTCTTTAAACATTTATCTTTGTAAGTACACTGAAATTACAGATAATGACATTAATTAATACATTTATAACCTGAAATGTACTAAAATATATTTTTTATATTATGAACATTATATCACAAAAGTAGTCTGTGTGTACAAACAGTAAAATAGATTAAAATAGCATTAAAATGTAGATGGACCAATCAAAACATATATGTTAAAACAGCTAAAGACATCATAAAAATTATAGAAGAAAACATATTAAGAAACAATATATATATTTCTTGGAGTAAACTCACACATGAAAAATAATGTCATCTACAAAAAGAATGAGGGTCAAAGAAGAAAGTCATTGAACAACATGAGGTGTGAATGCTGCTTCTTTTAAATGTTGTCCCATCTTCTGTGCTTTCGTTTTCATTTCATTTGATTGTTATCTGTTCTTTGATATTTTCCAGCATTTAGGATCAGAATTGGTGTACACCAACACTTTACGCAGCATCAATCCCAACACCACTATAAGCCGTGTGGCCACTCTCATCCTGCCACTCGCCTGCCGGATTCCCGGTCAACAAGCTAAAGGTCCAGCTTTTAAGATCTCCATTCCTGAAGAAGTGAAGACATTTGGTGTAGTGTCTTTCTGGCTCGAGTTCCACCCTCCAGGAGAGGGTCCTATGGCCGCCGAAACGCGTCTGCCGCGTTTGCGCGGTTCACCGCCAGTGCGCGAGGCTCGAGAGCTACGTGCTACACGCAAGATGGACAAGCTGGACCTGCATGTGTTTTCGAACTGCTCTTTGGCTCGTGCTGAGCTCATGGTGGGCCGCTGTGTTGAGTCGGAAACAGAAAACTTTAAAAATACAAGGCCTCTGCTGAACCAGGGGTTAGTAGCAACATCAGACTCATCAAATACTCTCTTACTCAGACTGTTTGTACTGCTAATAGTTAGTGTTAGTTATTTGAACAAGTGTTCAAAAGAAGGGAGATGAGAATATCATAAAGATTTAATTTGGGTCTGTATGCAACCACCTAGAACTCACTAGTAGCCATATAGAAACACACTAAAAACACTCAGAAACCTTTTGTAACTGCACCCGGGAAACCCACAACACCCCAGCAATACAGCAGCACTCACTCAGCCCAGAACACTCATCAACCTGGTCCTGCGCAGTTGTGCTGTAGACATGAATATTAATATTAATATTAATGGGGCTTGTTGAGGAGTAATAGCTGTTTTGATGATATTCCTCTGAATCTCATTTACATTGATTGCCTTGACTTTGATAGCATGTTCAGTCTCTATCTCTCTGCACCATTATAAATACATGACTGTATCATAGAGTCTTCTGTACTAAGCTTAATAGTTGAAAAAAGCAAAAGATTTTGGGCACTTCTCATTCTTACTAACAGTCGTTTTTGTGATATAACGGGTGGAATCTTACATTAAGATAATTCGGCAGATTTAATAGCACCTCTTCTCGTGCTTCACACCACCCTCTTTCCTTCATTAATCTGAACTAATCAGTCACATGGCTCTCTGTTTTTCAGCTGTGCATCTGGAAATGGAACCTTGGAGATCTTGATATCAAATTCAACTGTTCGGATTTTCCGCTTATATCTTGGTTCTTTGGGTATAAAGGGAGACACGGTATGTTTCATTATCTGTGTTTTCATTATGCTTGATAAGCTCTTTATGTCCATTCTATGTGAAGGTGGATCCTTCTTGCGTGTCTGTTGTTAAACCCTGTTGTGTTGTTTCTCTAGATGTATGTTGAGTGTGTAGTGCACCTTTGTGTTACTACCAAACAAACCGACAGGTGTTTGGATCCATGTACGGAAACACCGGACCTGACGATAGTAGACAGCATTCTGACCCGCAGCTACACTGTACGCTCAGGGCCTGTTTCTCTCATTAAAGTCACAGAAACCACTACAACTGCTAAGATAGTAGACAGCATTCTGACCCGCAGCTACACTGTGCGCTCAGGGCCTGTTCCTCTCATTAAAGTTACAGAAACCACTACAACTGCTAAACCAACCCAAACCACTAATCCAGTCACTCAGCCTTCCACCAGCCAGGTCACAACAGCCTCTGCCTCTCACGGTCAGTGTTTTACTCACTAATATTAGCATAATGCACATTTCTGTGACACAGCACATATCAAAGTATCTTTGCTCTTCTCTGTTTCAGCTGTGGATACAGGTGCATTCTGGATAATCACAGTGTCATTGTGTGTGCTCATGCTTCTCCCATGAACTGTTACTACGCATTGGAGAACTTTGTAGAGCAGTTCATCGCTGACTAATCAAAACATCTTTTCTTTTTTCTTAACCACCATTACAATGTTTCTTTATATATCCTTTAATCACGTCAATTTTGGGTAGCATCAAGAAACACATGAACCCCTGCTCTTCTAATCTTTTATTTTTAAGCAACTATAATAGCATTATATAATTTCATAATATTATGCCTTTTTTAACAAGAATAAATAAATAAATAAATCACAAATTAAAGTGTAATGTGAAACTTCTAACATTTATTCACCCTCATGTTTTTCCAAACCAGTATGAAGGAATAAAGACTGAGATGTTTGTCAGAATGTTGACGCTTCTCTTTTCCATATGATATCATGAAAGTGGACAGTAACCAGCGGCTGTTGAGCTCCAAAATAAATAATTAAATACACTTCTGCATTTGTGAGGAAAAGACCAACATTTAACCCATAATGCACTGCCAATAATGAGAATCAGTCACAATTTCGAAGCAGTTTTAATGTGTGCATATATTTGTACATGAAAAATCAATATTTGTATTACTAATTATTAAACATTATGCAAAATTAGCTCAAGTCAGTTCAGTGTTGGTTTAGTTCAGATAGGACTGCAAACATATTTTAATTGTGATGATCAAGATTTCTGCTTCTCTAGATTTATTAAGCATAATGATCTGCAATATTTGCCTGCTGCTTATTTATCTTGAAACAAGCTTTTACTTAATCTACCCAACCTGGTAACCAGAATTGCTTAGATTTCCAAATACCTGCAGTACGGTGACTCCCTGCCACAGCGAGAGGTGTGTACATCTGCTTAGACCCTGATATGGTGCGAAGCACTTTTCCACATCAAAGAGCATTTATAGAAATATGAATGTTAATAGATTTTAGCGTATGCACACTCTAAGATTAAATCTGTGCATATGCACATTTTATAAATGTGGCCCCAGAACTGATATTTTCTGGTGAATTAACACCATATCTTACTTCTGAAAAGGGTTAGGGTTAGGTTTTTTGAGAATACAGCGATCTTCCCCATCACAGTCTCACCAGTTTGAAGTAGGGAGGTCGAGGAAAGGCACGGGCCAGCACATGTTTGTGAGAGTGGATGAACTTTGATTCCTATTCGGGCTGGGAGGTTGTCTTTTTAAGGGGAAGCTGTCCCTCAAGGTTGCTGCCTGCTTTGGCCTAGTATTCTTTTAGTTTGAGTAATACGAATTTTTCGCTCTTGACTTAGTCCGGGCCAGCAAATCAAGCTACTAGTTTGCTAATCCTGGTCAGGCATCGCATTTCCTCCAAAATCTATTTTTTTTAAGTAAAGATATTATAATGGTTATGTATTAATGACACATGTTAGACTATACTCCTTTTGCCTTTGTTTTGTTCCTGTCTAGGAGATTAGCCCATCTGGGCGTCGGACTCAAGGGTTTCAGGTCCATCGGTCTATGAATGTTAGGTTTAGGGTAAGTATTGGTTCAGCGCTAGATTTAGATCTATTTTAGCGATGAAGTCATTGCCGTCCATTTGATCTATCAGTGTGCCACAGCTCAAGCACCGCAGGCCAACCGGTCTGACTTTCTCTCTAGTTTCCCTTATTCTCTATTTAATAATTTTTTCATTCTTATTTTTTTTATTTTTTATTATTTATTATTATCTATATATTGGTTTGTTACCATAGGCCCCTATTAGGAGGGATTTAGGAAGGACTAAGCCTTGATTGCTGAAATCAGATGATTTGGCCATTTTGGTGAACTTCTATGCTTTGAACCACTGATTCAAAACAAAAGATTAGTAAAAGTCTTTATAAAGCAGAGTTTTTCATACAGTCAAGTCAAGTCACCTTTATTTGTATAGGGCTTTGTACAATACTGGTTGTGTCAAAGCAGCTTTACAGTGTCAAACAGGAAAATAGTTTGTCAATAATGCAATAAGATAATAACAGAGTAATTTTTTTCCAGTTTAAGTCTGTTCATTGATGATTCAGTGATGTCATCATCCAGTTCAGCTCTCTTCCAATAGTGTCTGTGCAATCAGTCAAGCGTCCCCAACTAAGCAAGCCAAAGGCGACAATGGCAAGGAACCAAAGCTCCATCGGTGACAGAAATGAAGAAAAAAAACTTTGGGAGAAACCAGGCTCAGTCGGGGGGCCAGTTCTCCTCTGGCCAGACGAAACCAGCATGGCGTGGTTTAATTCCAGGCTGCAACACAGGTCAGATTGAGCAGAGGACTCGTCTGGTTCCCGTGGTCTTGTGCCGATGGTTGTCGAGGTGATGAGGCCTTCGGAGGGGATCTGTCTCTAGGGCGCATCTAATTGACATGGTCTCTGCTGACAGCATAGACGTAATTCACTCACACGTGCTCAACTGCACTCTTGCCCTTCAGTAACTGAATAACAAACATCAAACTCCAATTTGAATTTATAAATTCAAATTTATATTGTTTCTTAACAAGGTGTGTAAGAATGCGGTTCCACACTTGAGTATTTAAAGGACAAACACTGAAATGAAAAAAATATCTTGAAATGAAAACACTTAAAAATATGGAGAAGTGGAATCATAAATTCCATGATGACCCTATTTACACCTTTTATCCAACGACAAAATGAGTAAAAAATAATTTAATTTGTATTGATTGCTTTACATTAATTTTTACTGTGCTTACTCTGTAATAATGAAAAAAATTAAATTAAAAAAATGTGAAAAAAAAAATTTGAGAACAATGTTGAAGAACCATATACTGGAGTTGTTGGATTCAATAATTTTTTGAATGAATATCATAATCATAGTTCCAGCGGACACAGTGAATTATCTTGATGAATTAAAATCAGAAAGAAAAAAGTAAATGACATTAGTAGTGACATTCAATCGCAGAGCTTGTTCAATTCAGGATGCTCTGAATTCTTCATATTTCAGCATTTTATTCAACATACTTTTAAAAAAATGTATTCATAACCTATATTTGTATCTTTTTGATGTAATA